AAAGAAACATTGGGTCTCCTGTGTGTGTGAGGCACCATGGGAGCCATCATAAATGAATGACTACCTAGTTTCTATCTTCGAAGTTTATAGTCTGGGCCAGAAGATAAAAATGTTGTTTGGATATACAGATGTCACACAAGACAAACTGTGCCAAATACTCTAGAAGTATAAAAGTCAAGGGAGTTAATGTTCATTATGGAATTGCAGAGAATTTCAGTGAAAGTAGATTTGAACTGCACCTGAGAGTGTAGTGAGAAATGGAGGCTCCATGAGAACAGGAACCTTGTCTATCATAGTTTTAATCTCAACATGTAGAACAATACCTGTGGCAAATGGTGGACATTCAATAAAAAAAGGACATTAGAGGTTGAAGGAACACTGAGCAAATAAGCAGAGTGTAGGACATATTCCAGAAACTGCAGGTGTTCTGCTAATGACTAGAGACTTGGGCTGAATAGAGGAAAGAGGCAGAGAATGGTAGTTGGACCAGTTTGAACTCTTGTATGTTATACAAGGAAGTTTGGACTTGGTTCTGTAGGGAAAGAAGATCTTGAGGAATTTTTGAGCAGAGGAATGACATTCGTTCTTCGAAAGCTAATTCTGGTCCCTCTGAATATCTTGCATTAGGGGAGTCAGGAAGGATTAAGGGAGGTGTGTAGGCAGTGACCCGGTAATGGTAGTAGAACATGATTTGATAGAAATGTCAGAAGTGCCTCCAACATGATTGGTGTGCGTATAAGGAAAAGGAGAAAAATCAAAGGTGATATTCAAGTTGTGGCCTAACCAATCAAGATAGAGAACTAGGTGGGAAGGGAAGATAGTTGTTTTACTTTTAATCTGTTAAATTCAGTATATCTGAAATGCTTTTCTGCAGTTCAGGGAGAATGATTTGATGTGTTGAAATCAAGGAACATGCTAGGCAGTGGCGCACGTCTGTAATTCCAGCTGCTCAGGAGGCTGAGGTGAGAAGATCGTGAGCTCAAAGCCAGCCTAAGCAACTTACTGAGGTCCTAAGTAACTCAATGAGACTATCTCTAAATCAAATTTTAAAAAAGGCTGGGGATGTGGCTCAGTGGTTGAGTATCTCTGGGATCAATCCCTTGTACCAAAAACAACAAACAAGGAACATCAGTCCAAAGGCTCATCATCTATAGGGCTGTGCAGAGTGAAGCTCTCAGCATTGTTTTCTTAAAGCCAGCCTGTCTTGGTCCCCAATGTGGAAGTATTGGCAGGTGGTACCTTTGAGAGGTATTTGG